GCATAATGAGAATCACTGATACCAGGGTTATAGGGAATGCAGGCGTGGGAGGGTGAATGATGATGAGGGAAAGGTGATCTTGGGGATAAATGGGGAATGGGAGGGGGGAGGGAGCACTAGAATGGATTGTGATTGCATAACTCATCCTGAAGATGACTTAACCATGGGATGGGGCATCTTCCCACGCCCATAAACAGCCTGGGAAACCCACCGGGGTCACTATGAGTCCACATTGACCCAATGGCCGGGAGAGGAGAAACAAAGTGATTTCATTTGCACTGACAGATAGAACCAGCTTGACCATATTTTTGATGGGGGCCTTAAAAACATACTGGGTTTAGAGCAGCCAAGCCCTTCGTGTTGCAGTATCTGAGTTTGGCTTTCCTGGGCCACCTTTTCCTGCATACGTCACTGTCAACCCCTCCCCTCGGAGACTCTGAGATGCTGAGAATTCTTTGAGCATCCTTCCGGTCACCGTTGTCTTGCTTAGACTGCTGTGAGCGAATAGTCATGAGATGACCCATATACAGAACAAGGGAGGCCAGGGGCAGGTCTATAACTTGGTCCCCATCTGAGTCAGTCACTGTGCCTCGTACCAGAATGTACCAGCCAGCAGTGAAATTCTGCCTCGTCCTCAGGCTGGGCCCCGAGGAGGGTGAGGGCAGCTTTGCCCCTATGGAGGGATCCTGGGAACCAGCAGGGGGTCAATGAGATTTTGCTGTGTTATAAATCAATGTCCTGGGAGCTTGCCCAAACTTCTGCTGGAACCAGTATCTGATAGTGACCGTTGGTGACCATTCCAGTGCTGGAGCCACAGTAAGAGTGACTGTCCCTACCAGGAACACGGTCAGTGAGGGTGCCTGGGTCACCAGGTCCTGAGAACTGGTCCCTCAAAGGGAAACCACACGTGGTTAGGAGAAAAGGTGGAAGGTGAGGGGCCCCTCTGAAGGCCACTCTCTGAGATCCCCATGACCCTGGGCAGTCAGGGAGGAACAGGAGGAGGAGCGGTGTCCAGTAACTGGTGAAGGCTTTCCAGAGACCCCTGGGCCCTACACCTGCTGCTGGCACCTATCAAGTCTCTTTTATCTCCTCCTCACCTCCTTGAACCAGGAGCAGCAGAGAGTGTGTGTGGTCCTTATGCAAATCTGAGCCCTGGAGCACCGCCCTTTATTGTGGAGCTCCTCCCTCCAGGTCAGGTTCCTCTCATTGCTGAGAGCAGACCCACTGCTCTGGGGA